GCCACCGGGGCAAACATCGTGTGACGGGTATCTACTCCAACAACTTCATCATCTTCACCAACATCTGCATCACCTTTCCCCATCTATCTACAATGATCCACTCTCCCGCAACCCGTTTTACCCTCTACTCTAACATGGCGCTTTATGCTTCATATTATTATCCAATGATATGTTGTCATCCTATGATGCTCAAGTAGATTTTTGTTGTCCTACCGATAATTGGTGAATTGCTATGATTGGTTTAATTTGCTTGCGGTTATGTTGTTGTGCTTTGGTGCCCATCATATGAGTGTGTGTGTGTGGATCACACTATAGGGTGAGTTGTATGTTGATAGGACTATGCATTGGAGGGAAAGGGTGACACAAGCTTCTTCCTACCATAGAAATTGATGCATACGGGATTGAAGGGGGCCAATATATATTTTAATGCTATGGCTGAGTTTTACCTTAATGAACGTTAGTAGTTGCGGATGCTTGCTAATATTTCCAATCATAAGTGCATAGAATTTCAAGTAAGGAACGACATGCTAGCAGTGGCCTCTCCCACATAAAAACTTGCTATCAGTCTAGTAATGTAGTCAATTGCTTAGGGACAATTCCGCAAATCCGACCACTACTAATGCACACTCGCGATACTAGTTTATTGTACTTTAATTAGAACAACACCTACTTTTTATTGTTACGTTCTTTGTTTTCTTGCAAACCTATCCTACCACACGTACAAAGTACTTGTAGTTTTATTCTTGTTCTAGGTAAAGCAAACGTTAAGCGTGCGTAGAGTTGTATCGGTGGCCGACAGAACTTGAGGGAATATTTGTTCTACCTTTATCTCCTCTTTGGGTTCGACACTCTTATTTATCGAAAAGGGCTACAAATGATGCCCTATACTTGTGGGCTATCAGGCATCTCCGACATTTTGTTCTCCAGGGAGGCGATTTGCTACGCAGATCGTGACTGCCAGCATTTCTGGTCTACATCATGACTTGATGGTCGCTGATTCTATTAGCTCCTGGGTTTAAACAAGTTTGCACCGCTGAGACAGAAGCCCAGATGTGGCAACAAGATTTGTTTATGGCACGCTGCTGGTGAATGCAGAAGGAAGAAAACTTCGACACCCTAAGAATTTGGATGTAATTTTTAATTTAGGTAGGGTGTTTTTGTAAGGATTGTACTACTTGCTAGATGGCCTTTAGACTTTTAAAAAAAAGATTGTGGTTGTTGCTATCAAGTTTTAATGTGATACATGTGCGCGTGTATAGTCCACCGGCTGATTCTTTTGTTCAACCATAATGCATACTTGGTTGTGATGATCTTCATTGTTTGGTCACCCCAATTAGATGAAAATCCTTGTCTAGGCCATCTCTGATCGGACACAATCATGATTGTGTAAAGACGTTTATCTCTGTTTAAAGGCATAGCCGTGGAAAAAATTATTTTATTCGGAGTGTTAATTGTATATATTGCAATGGTTAGGCCGTGGTTGTCTTTTTTGTACTCTACTGAATAATTAATAAAAATGGTTGTATCCATAATTATGATGTGATGCAGAGGCCGGGGGTTTTAACCTTCATTGCAAAAAAGAAAAGACAAAGGGAAAATAAACTTTATAAAACCCCGGCCTAACCATAAGTTTATTTTCACACAAAGGGAAAATAAACTTTATAAAGACAAAGGGAGTATAATTTTACCAACTGGTGGGATGTATGTGTGAACATAAGTTTTCCAGACCTAAATGACATATAAGAAAATTTACAATTGCCATGCATAACAAACTAAATCTGCCACATTTTAAAGCAAATAAGAAAACTTAACAATTATGTTTGAACGTAAGTTGCCATTGTTTACTAAGATGATGTCAAAAATTGTATTGGAACGAAAAATTATGAAATAGTCTTATGAAAACAAATTTGCCGTGGATGTTCAAAATAAATTTGCCATGGTGTAAAAAAGAAATTTACAATTGTTTCTTCAATGAATGTGTACAAAAAGGAATGTTGTCTTTTCAACAAAAAATTGCCATGTTCCAAAAATAGTTAACCACGTTAAAAAATTATGGACCAGGGTTCAAAAATAGATTTCACATGGTCTAAATATAAATCTACCATGGCAGAGAACGAAAAACAATATACCATGTATTATTCAGTAAATTTGATATGGTCCAATTTTTTTTGTCATGGCCCACTAAATAAATTTGTCATGGTGCAAACAAAAGAAATTCGCCATGATCTACAATAAAAACATAATTTGTCATGCCATCTACTATAAAAATGTCATGATCCACATGGACTACTTGTCATTGTGCTAAAAATGATATTAATGGCAAACTATGTGTAAGTTTACCATGATGGCAAATATAGTGTGAAATTGCTATGATGCACACGAGATACTTGCCAGATGCTAGAAAATGACAATAATGACGAAATGTGTGTAAGTTTGGCAAGATGGCATGTTTAGTGTTAAATGGCCATGATGTATGCAAGCTAATTACCGTGATGCTAAAAAGGCATCAAATGTAGTTTTACACACTAATTTGACATGATGCAAAAAAGTTATCATATCAAAAAATGTGTGTAAAGTTGCCATGATTGCATACACACTACTTGCTTGCATCTATATTTTTCTGCTTTTGCTTTGCGACGGTTTGGTTGTCACATCTACTATTCGTGTGGTGGCATCTTCATATTTGTTGTCATGGTTACTTAAGAATCATTTTTGCCATGGAAACTTAAAGCATGTTGTCCTGTTAATCGAAATCTCACCCGTAGCATTATTCCAAAGGCGAGTACTAGGCGTCGGTCGGCCGGCCGAAATTCGGACGACCGTGAGCTAGCCGTTTGATTGGTCTCCGTGACCCGTCAGATGCAACCCCCCTTGGATCTTCTTGTCCCCACCCTGACTAGGTCAACGCATGGGGGATTCCCATTTCTTCTTCCCCGATCAAGTCCGACGACACCCCCAGCACGACACCCGCCCCTCGGCTCACCTCCTCCTCCTCCGGTTGCAGCACCGCCACGTGCCTCGCCGCATTTGTGCCTCTCGACGCCGCAACCATTAGCATTGAAGCACACATGCTTTTGTGAAGCTCCAGTTTCTGTCGTTGCAGCTTTCCATCGGCGGGTTCCAACAGGTAGCGCTCGTGGTTGTAGCATTCATGACGTCGTCGCCTCTGGTTTTGCCGCCATCACGCCACCGTGTTCATGAACAAAAACTCGGTAGAAGAAACAATATTTGTCGGCGGTAGCAAAAAACATAAGCAGTCACAACACAAAATGACAATGGTTTGAGCAAAAAATGCATCGCCGCCTACGGTCGCAACAAAAGACCTCACCGAATCCAGCAAAAGAATTGTCGATTTTACCAAAACAAAAGGTTGGTGCCAGCAAAATGACCCGTATCGTCATCCAGTTCCAGCGTTGTGTGTGTGGATGCAACTTTTTTGTTGGCCGGTTCCAGCAGAAACAATTATTGCTTGCAACATCGGAGGCCGCTGTGTCCACCCGACGGTAGCAGCTAGTTGCAGCTTTATGCCCAGCCAGTTCCAGCAAAAAACTTACTGGTTGTAGCACTGGGGGCATTGTCTTCATCACCCAGAAGTGCTACTCGCCCATGGCCTCCTCTGCCCCCAGTTGCAGCATCGTCCCCACCACACTGCCTCACCATATCTGTGGGAGAGGAAGGAGCCATGCGAATGCCACAACGTTTGGGAGGCAGGAGCTGCACGAGCACCGCGTTGGGAAGCCGCTCGCCGGAAAAGATTGCCATGCGTGTGGGCTGACCATGGCCGGGGTTCGGAGGTGGAGGAGGGATGAGAGAGACGGGCGACCAAATGTGTGGCTACGCTGCGGTGAGGAGGGATAAGACGAAGGAGAGAAGAGAGAAAGCGGTGTGCGTGGGGCCCAGAGCTACGTGACCCGCGTGCACGAGCCGCGAGGCACAAGCGCGTTAGCGAGCGAGGCAACCGGACGAATATTTGTTAAGAGCTAAGATTCAAAGAGCTCTTCTACATAGATGATAATTTTGTGCCCGACGCCCGCCTGATACTACGTGACAGCACCAACAGCGTTTAGGCAAAAAATAATAATTCAAAGCTGATCCTAGTGCAGTTGGGAAGGAAATATCGTCGTAGATGGTGTCGTATGTGAAGCAATTTCAAGATTCAAATGCAGTCTAGATGGTTTCAATACTCGAAATTACTTCACTCACCTCCCACCCAACGCTGTCATGTATTGTCAGATTTGCTTCTCACGATCACGCAGATTGTGTCGTTCGTGAAGCAATTTCGGGATCAAATGCGGTCCAGATGGTTTCATTACTGCCAACGTGGGATTTCTTGCAAATTCCTGAACACTTAATTCCTAAACGCTTAATAAACACCTTGGTAAGTTGTTTTTATCAGCTAAATACTCCTCCGTCTCATAATGTAAGACGTATTTTGACACTAGTATAGTGTCAAAAAAACATCTTACATTAAGGGACGGAGGGAGTAGTAATTACCTCGTCTCAGAATATAAGAGACGGAGGTATTTTTTTCAGTTTAAAATTAAACTGAAAAATGTCTTATATTTTGAGACCGAGGTAGCGCTGTAGAAAGATTCTACGTCGTAGTCATTTCTTGTAGCTGCCGAGGATGGGGCGTCGACCCGTTGGCTTGGCAGCTGAGGTTGCTGCTAGCCCATCCGAATTCAAATCCCGACTTGAACGCGTGATGCTCGCGGAGTTTCTTCTATAAATAAATGCCAACGAGGGTTAGCCTTGGTTGGTCTCTTTTTTTTCTTTCTTGTAGCTGCCCGCAAAGTAGGCGAGGCAACCTACCAGGGGTGCGTTGGTGTACGTGGTGGGCTCCGACCGCGCATAGTCGGCGCGGTCATCCGGGAACGCGTCGTTCTGGTCCGGCCCGCCGACGATGGCGCCGGTATGCACGTTGGGATTAGGGCCGCTGGCGTAGAGGTAGCTCTGGAAACCCTCCTGGCAGCCGATGTGCGCCGGGTGCGCGGCCATGGACGGCATGGAGGACGCCCTGTGGTGTATCCTCTGCGGGGAGCGCGCACCGTAGCCCACCATGTAGGACATCCCCAGCGGGTTGTCGCCTAGCACGTAGTCCACCTGCCTCTTGGCCAGTGCCCTCAGGGACTTGTAGGTGACGGGGAGGTTCTGGCAGGAGAAGGCGTGGTTGGAGACGGCCATGTACTTGGCGTAGGTGGTGAGCAGGAAGCTCGCGGAGGCGACGTACTGCAGGTTGGCGTTGCCCGACCGGTGCATCAGCCCGCCCGGCGTGTACGGCGTCGTGGACGAAGGGGAGCTGGACTTGGGCAGGACGCGGCAGATGAACTCCTCCGCTTGACGCGTGAAGGGTTCCAGCCTTTTGTCCCCGTCCAACAGGGCTCTCTGCTCGGACCGGACGGACGCAATTTGTTAGCTGGGTGGAACTTGATGGCATATTGGCATTGAAGGGTTGCATGGTGTGTTTCAGTTACCCGTGACAGAAGAACGCGCGCTCCGGCGAGCTTGTTGTCCCAGCTGAACATGTCGACGCCGTCGTTGGCGCCGAGGGAGATGAGGTCGTTGAGGTAGGAGCTGTTCTTCGTCGCCCAGAGCAGCCATGCGGATCCCCATAGGAGCTCGTCCTGCACACCGTGCACGCAAAATCGTGACAGGAAACACGCAGGAGCACTATATAAGGATTTTCAATTCGTTGCACGGCGTGATCTTTTGAAGGATTTGACTTGCACCTTGTAGCCGGAGTAGGACGGGTAGTAGTTGCTCACGCCGCCGCCGACGTGGTCGCTGTACTTCCCCTGATGCTGCCAAGCGAACGCCATTACGTCCCTGGCCGCCGCGACCAGCCTCCTGGAGTAGTCCGGGTCGGCGGCCTTGAAGACCAGGCTGGCTGCGGCGAGCGCGGCCGCGGTCTCCCCTGCGACGTCGGACCCCGGGGCGGACGCCGACACCTCGTACACATTCCGCGGCGTGTCCATGTCCTCCGGCCGCTCCCAGCAGCGGTGGTCGGCGTCGGCGTCGCCCACTCCGACGTAGAGTTTGCCCGGGGTCGTCTTGGCGGCCTTCAGGAGGTAGTCCGTCGCCCACCGTACAGCGGCGCGCGCGTCGTGAACGCGCCCCTCCATCCGCCCACCGTACTCGATGATGCTCCACGACAGCATGGTCGTGGTGAACGCCGTGGGGAAATTGAACTTGACGTTGTCGCCGCCGTCGTAGTAGCCGCCGGTGAGGTCGACCTGCCGCCCAAGTACGCCCATCCACCATAGCCGAGTCAACAAAAGTCAAATTCTAGGTCAGCACGTTGACCACAACCAAGCATGTGCCACAAGTAGAAGCGGCACAGTGCGTGCGAGACGTCGCTTGCTCACGTTTGCGGCCGAGCCGTCGGACATGGCGGAGTTGGACCTCCACTTGACGGCCTGGTCCGCCGGCAGGCGGCCGGACCTCTGCCCCTGGAAGAAGAGCAACGACTTGGTGAGCGCGTCGGTGTAGTCAGGGTGTCCGGCGGCAAGGACGTGGCTGGAGAGCCAGACGAGGGAGAAGGCAAGAAACACAGCCACGGGTGAGCGTGATGATGATGCCAAAGCAGCCGAATTGCTCATCTTCTCTCCCGACTGCTACCGCCTGGGCTAATGCGACATTGCAGTGCATGGCCATGATTTATAGAGTACATGCGACGAGCTAGGAGAAGCTCGCTGCAACGACGTCTAGGATTTCGCCAAATTAATCTGGAGCCAGGTTGCAGTTGTTTATGTTATCTCATGAGCTCTCGAGATCCTACACCGGAACGCGAGCTGGGTCACAGCGATGGATCATGGGGTCGAAGTATCTAATCTAACAGACCCAGGGGATGTTATATAATGGGCAAGGAACACTTGGTTCTGGATTGTTGCTGTGAAAGTGATCGGTTCTCGTAATCGCTCTGTCCTGAAAACTATGTATATAATTGAGTCTCCACATCTTCTTTGGGAGTGCGTTCTCCTCTCGATCGGTGTGGTGCCTCCGGGTCGTGCGATCCTTGGCAGCCTATCTGGTGGTGCTCGCGTACTATCTTAAGGGTTACTCAAAGGTGGCCATGGTAATCGACGGAGAGGGAGAAGCGTAAATGTGGCAATCTTGACCGGCCTTGCTGCCGGTACAGGCTACATCAGAACAGAAAAAGGCGCACACTCATCTGTAATGTAGGTCATCTCGTGGCCCAATCCAATTTGCGACTGCTCTGCGTGTGCAACTGAAGCATGTCTGACTGAACTCTGCATGTTTGGTCATGCAAAATAAATAAATAAGAAGCACGTGATTACTACCCCTTCCGTCCCAAAATATACTGCCTACTACATCTTTTAGTCAAACTTTGTAAAATTTAAGCAAATTTATAGAAAAATGTATGGGAAAAGATTACCATCAACCGGCCGATTGCAGCGGCCGCGTCGGCCACCTTGCCTGAATGACACATGTCAAGTGAGGGCCTATATATCATCCTATATGCAACAGGGACTATGCTTTTGAAACATAAGCGGTGTTGCAATGATCTATGATGGGTTTATGTTTTGCAACAAAACCTATCTTGCGAAAAATTCTGCAACAAGATCTTAGTTGAAAAAAAAATTGAAACAAAACTTCAATTGCAAAATATTTCTGCAACAAAACAGTTGTTGCAAGAAAAATCTGCAACAATATCCGTGTTGCGGAAATAATTCTGCAACAGGAGCCGTGTTGCAATGGTGAAGGCACGTCGGCCGATCAATGAGCCAGATCCGACGGCTGGCGACCTTGCTGATCTTTTAAAAAGATCAGCCGGCGGACGCGTAGCACGCCCCAAAATATATCAACATTTAGAATAACAAATCAATACCATTACATTCATCATGAAATATATTTTTCATGCGGTATATGTTTATTGTAATTTTTTGTCGGTAGTTTACCAAGCTAACCGCTTGGTAATGTTGTATATAATTGATATTGCAGATATAGATATTTGGTCTACCAAGCGCCCCTCTCCCTCCCGGGGTGCCCCCGCGGGCGACCCAAGAGGAACTCTAGCCCGCCGCCGCAACCCTCCCCCACCTTGCTCTCCCTCCGCTGCCGCCGAAGGGCGTCACCAAGCAAAGCCCACGCGGTGCCGTCGGCAGCGGGGCCTGGTCTCTCTCCCTTTTGATTCAGACGGGGTGGCGCGAGACGCCAGATCAGGCGGAGGCTCGCGCGGCGGCTGGGTGCGCACCCGTCGTCGGCTGTGAGCTTGGGGCGACTCGGGCGGGAGGAGCGGTGTCGGCGGTGGTCCAGGAGGAAGCAGTGGCTCGAGGAGGAAGGTAGTCGTCCAGGCAGCGGCTCGAGGGGGCTTCCTCCCGTCTGGACCTGGGCCTGCGCAGGGGCGGCGGCTCGGCTTGTCATGGTTGTGGCTGGAGGATAGAGGGGGTACCGGAGTAGCCGCCCCGTGGAGAAAGTGGATGGTGGTGCGGTGGATGTGCGACTCTTGTGGCGGAGGATGGCGGATTGTGGTGTTGTCTCTCTCGCCGGTGAGGCTCGAGGCGACATGTGTGGTGGGGTTGTCCTTGGCCGTGGGGCATGGTGCCGGGCGAGCGCTGCTCCGGTGACACTGGCCAGTGCGATGGTGGCACACTGCCTCCTCTCGGTTGTAGGCGGTCTTGGCACTGGTGGCCTAGGCCCGGCGGGCATGTTGGCTTGGATGCTTGGTTGTTGATGGTGGTCTTGGCGGTGGGTGGTTTCAGCTCCGTGTGCGAGGTGGTGGCGGAGATGGTGGAGGCAGTTGTGCTGCGTGATGTGACGCCTCCTATAGTGTTGGTCGACCTGATTGAGCAGCTCCAGAACTTTGGGTTTTTGTGATCTTGGGCTGGGAGAGATCCCTGCTTCGTGACGCCGAGGCTAGCAACGACGACGTCCATGGGCGTCGTCCCCTCCTTGGAGGTGTTGCTTTGGCCCCGATTCGACTCCCTCCCTCGTGCTCAGGGGAAACCCTTGGTCCGAGCTCTGGACCAGGCAGCTGCAACGTCATAGCGTCGTTCCCTCCTTGGAGGCGCCGTCTTGTAGCTCGAGGAGTCCCGATGGCATGGCTCTAGTCAGTGTCGGCTACTACTCTGGGCATGGGCCTCTAGGGCACAATGTACACCATCGTCGGCGCCCTCCCGACGACATCGTCTTTAGGTCTTCCTAGGCCATGTCGTCCACTTGTCGACTTCTTCTTGGCGCAAAGGGTGGGGTAAGTTGGTATGTGTTGTCATCGAGTCTTGGCCTTGTTGTAGAGGTCTCCAGCGTCGGTTGTGATGTGACTCAGTTGCTATGTGGCTTGCCTCGCTCATTGCCTTTGGCATGAGGTTGACATAGGTGTAGCATGTATCGTAGTTCACGTGGTGGGTATGTTCGGTGGATGTGAATGCTAATCCCTGTGATTGGCGTGGTAATGGCCGAAAAGCGTTGTATCCGGCTTCTTTGCGGCTTCTTCTTTATTTTTGCCTGATAAAACATAGTTTTATTCCATGGTAATATTGCTAAAATGATATATGATACGCATGCTTATGCATATTATAGAAAAAAAGGATATAGATATCTTTCTTAGAACACTCGTCCGTTATACTTTTTGCGTTAATAGTTTATTCACTGTAAACAAAGTAATCAATTATTGCAAGCCAGAAGTAGTTAATTATCGGATTCCATGATATTTCCAAAAACAAGAACTCAGTTTGTTTGTACATAAATACTACCTCCTCCGTTCTTAAATATAAGTCTTTTCAAAAAAATTAATATGGACTATATACGGAACAAAATGAGTGAATCTACTTTCTAAAGTCTATATACATCTGTATGTAGTTCGTATTAAATCTCTAAAAAAACTTATGTTTAGAAACAGAGAGAGTAACTAATTGTTCAATTCTATTGAAAAGAAAAAAACACTAATTGTTCTTTGTTTTAATATTTGTTCAACTCCGCCCAAATCATATATGGTCCTCGATGGCCATCTAAGTATATTGTCGCCACTCCTCCGGAATTTAAAAGAAGTAATTTATCTGGTTGAATTTCGTACAAATAATTAGTAAAGCTTGGCAGATCAATATAATATACTTCCTCCGTTCTTAAATATCTGTCTTTCTAGATATTTCAACAAATGACTACATACAGAGCAAAATGAGTGAATCTTTACTCTAAAATATGTCTATATACATCCGTATGTGATAATCCATTTGAATCTTTAGAAAGACCTATATGTAGGAATGGAGAGAGTGCTAAATAAAATATCCAAAAGCACAGATGAATTGCAAAACATGATTTAAAGCTTGGCAGATAGTAAAATATAATTTGCGAAAATATCCAGATGTACACGATAAATTACAAAAAATATATTCCACTAGCTTGGGTCAGCGTGATCTGCTACGAAACTGAGGCATTTATATGCATAAAAAAAGGCGTGGACGGTAGGAGTCGAACCTACGCGGGCAAAGCCCATATGATTTCTAGTCATACCCAATAACCACTCTGGCACGTCCACCGCTTGTGTTTGGGACTGCGCCCAGCTTAATATATATGGCGTTATTGTCAGGCCTATGATCTCCATAATCCGCAGCGCTAAACGTGACTGTCGTGTTTCGTACTTCGCGGTCAGCATTATGACAGCAAAACATATTACTCCCTCCGTCCGGAAATACTTGTCGGACAAATGGATGTATCTAGATGTATTTTAGTTGCAGATACATCTATTTTTATTCATTTTTCCGACAAGTATTTTGGGACGGAGGGAGTATTTAATAAATCAATTTTCCCTAGTCTATCAATTAGTACTCATATTAACAAGAAAATATATGATGATTCAAGACATCTCAATGTATGCTTCTTTGTTTGTTACGGTAAAAGACAACAACACTACTTATAAAAGCAAGCGGCCAGTTTAGTAAAGCCTAGTTGAATGCCTATGTGCTGCTACGAAATAAAAAATATAGACCCAAATGTATGTCGTTTATGATGGCATGTGGTTTCAATTAATATAGGGATCGGTTTTCTCCCACTTCTTTCGTCCTTGGCAATCGTCATGTCTCCTTAACCACCATATCCTTGTATGAAAACAAAGTAACATATTTCATCCGGGCCCTCCTACCTCTTGACTTCCATTCTCTTTACCCCTTTGCTCTAGCATTGTCACCACTTCAAGAGTAGTACATTGTACCTCTGTGTTACAAATGAAATGCTTCTAGCCAATCTTGAGAGATAGTGACATATTAAAATTCTTATTCACAAGATGCATGTAGTGCAATGACAATATTTGTCTCCTTATTCTTCGATGTCAACAAAGATAACGCTTTTGTGTCCACAAGAAACGCAGAGAAAGTAATATGGTGTGTGTGTGTCTACACACACACACACACATATATATATGTCTGAGTAACAAAATGGCAATTCCCTTAGACTTTCCCCATTTTTCCATGTTATGCATATCGTTCCGACGATGACTTGTGATTTAGAAATTTAACTATAACACATGGATAGTACGAACCCAAAGTCACATCCATTTATTTAAACCAAGTTTCTTCACTGGACGTATCATGCACTACTCCCCACGACCAATTAACGTTAGCTCAGCTCTAGCCATTCGGAGCGC